CTCTTCCCACTCTCCCCAGTCGGTTGAAACATTTTCCGATAGTTAGCTCTCTAGCCGCTAACAGCCAACAGCTTGGTGTCCAGATTTAAAAATAGTTGAGAGGCTGTTTGTTTCATCTGTCTGACACCCGACACCCGGGATCTTGGAGACCCACATGCTAGCTTCTCTTTCTGTCCCCCCATGGTGGACACTCTCTGTGGGAACAAGTCCTCTATTTCTGTCTGGTCCCCGAGTTATGCTGCCTTCAACTGGTCAGATACTCAAGGACCAGTCGGTGGACTAAAGGAGCTTTTTGCTCCGGATTTATTTCATGATCAGGAGTTGGAGCGGCCAAATGAGGTGACAGGAGACGCAGGGTTTTTGCAGAGATTTGCCTAAAATAAGGCTTAGAATATGGACTATACACATGGATGGTAAGACGTTATCTTTTTAAATCACAACTAAGAGTAAAAAAAAGTAAAAATGTAACTGTATGTGTTTTGGATTGTATATTTTACCCAAGTAAATTAAAAGAGAAAAATATCTAAATAAACACACATGTTTGTTGATTAGCCATATTTCACTTTAATTTTTATTTCTTTTTTTTAATCACAGGAGACAGAATTTGTTTTTGTTTATTTGCACTCAGTGGTTTGTAACGGTCACTTTTAGATGCAATACTGTGAAAACAAGGCCTCTTTGGTGTCAGGTTTTAGCGTTGGCGGTGCGTCACTGGACAAAAATAAATCTGTCACACGCAAGAATGAGCAGAAATCAGCCACACAGTTACAGACATGAGATCAGGGTCACACACGTGTGTTGTTTATAAATTGTGCAAACGAACCCAAAGTCTAACCCTAAATAATTTCCACTCAGTCACTGACCAGTGTGTTGTATTTAAACCTGTGTGCATCGGTTTGAGTTTAATACTGTAGATGCACTGAAGATGAACGACCTGCGGGTCAGCAGATATTAATGAACTACTGAGTATTCTGAGAAAGGTGCTGCTGCCTGGCAGCTGCAGTTCATCTCACCAGAACATAGCCATGATGTGACCTCACTGCCTGTTAATGTACAAACATTTTATTTAACCATCCCACTACAACAGAGGGACTATGAGATTAGTGAGCTACATGCAGCCAAAAACCAAGTGCACACACACACACACACACACACAGACACTGTTGCCGTTTTGAAAGTCCACCCATAAGCAATAGATGCATCCAGCAAACTGAGAGTAACAGGCCGAGGTCAGGCACACTGTAAATATGTCAGCGCTGGCCCCGAGGCCTCGGCTGTATCAACTGTACAGATACGACTGCAGTCGTTCTATTTATGAAACAGAGAGTTTCAATGGAACGACCACCTGTAGCACTCATTATCTCTTGTCCTACAGATGAGACACCTGTGTTTCAGACTCTTTTCAGCTTTCATTAATTAAATACCCAAAAAAATTTAAATTTCATCTTGCACTTCAATGATTTTTTGATTTATTTCTTTAACCTGGAGCCAGTAGAAGTGCTTCCAGTGTAATATTACAACTTGGTCTTTTTGTACATCTTTCTCTCTCTCCCTCTCTCTCTCTCTGTGTGTGTGTCCTGTGTGCCCTCCTTAACTCTCACGTGAAGCCGTGTTTCTGCGTGTAGCAACAGTGTAGTTTTATTCCCAGCAGCGTCTCTGAAGGTCAGAGTGAGCAGGAGGATTTACAGTGCTGTTTTCAGAACCACATACAGATCATTGCTGCTAAATGCAAAGGAGGTGGAAAAAAAAGGCCTGCGTTTCTAAAACTAGTCACTGAGGCACTGAGGGTCCCCGGAACCTTCCTGCAAACACTGGTCCTAAACTTGGCTGATGCTCTGGAAACTACCCTGAACATTTAGGGCTCAGAACCATCAATCCCATTGGGTGAAAAATGTGTCAGGAATGTACTGTTTAATTTCAAGTAGATAAGACAGAATTAAGAATGACTTCCTGTTAGCAGGATTTAGGCAATAAATCCATTGGATTTTTTTTTGCCCTCCTTAACTTATCCGAGGGGGAAAAAAAACGTTTGGTGAATATTCATCAAAACAGACAAGACAGAGAAGACAAGCAGTGCATGTTCTTTAACGCAGTCATGTGATGTCTTCTAGAACTCCTGTGTTGTACTGTTTGTCCTTTCATGTGTTCTATAACGTTCTCCATTGACTGTGCGTTGCGTTTCATCAGAAACCTACATCTCATGAGATGCTTTTGCTATATTTTCTGCATTAAACCTTTTAACCTCCCAACTGTGCTTTAATACATTAAAGCACTTCAAAGGAAATGAGAAATCACACACATCTCTGTGTGTGTGTTTAGTTTATGCTTTCATTTGGTGAATACTAACTGTTCAATCATCAAAAATTAACTAATATGGTTACTGCCAACATCTGGAAAACCAAATTAATAATGTCTGTTTTTGAGAAAAACGAATTCAGAAGATGCATGTCCACACAGTTGGTGAATACAAAATAAAATAAATAAAATAAATATCCTTTGAAGTGTTTCACTGAGGCTTATCACTAACAGTAACAGAAGGCGGTGCTAGTGTTAGCTTTCGTTGACATTCACTATTGTTAGGGCACAACGATATTTTTCATCTATCCTCTCTGTTAGGATGAATAAAATGTGGTTTTAAGTTCAGGATTGGACTGATGCTCTTTCCTCTGTCCTGCAGGAGAACAACTGATTTCAGGATTTACTTTTTGAAAGAAGCATTCTAAAAATCCATGATGTTTCTGGGGTGACTGACTAAACATCCCCACATCCTTCAGCTCCCACAGCAGACACAGGCTATAACTTTAAGGTCTGTGTTGGTGTGTATGACTGAACAACTGAGGTCAGATCGCCGTGTAATCAAAACTCCATCATGACCTCAGTTGAGAAACGCCGCTCCAGCCGAAAGAGTGGCGGACGTCGAAAGCGTAGCAACGGAGGCTACAGTGATACTTCCAGCACCGGGTCCTATCAAGACGAGACCGACCGTGAGGTCAGCAGCCTGACTGACCGAGCGTTCAGGAGTCTGTGCATTGGAGATGAGGCCATTTACAATGACTCAGACCTCTGTTCATCTCCACCCTGCAGCCACAGAGAAAAACAGCTGGCCCTGAACCAGAGTGGCCAGAACAGAGAGAGCAGAGAGAGGGAGGAGTTGAAGAGAGCTGCTCACGACAGCTTCAGCCTCAGAATGCAGCAGTACGGACAGGAGTGGCTTCACGCAGGGATGCACAGAGCTGAAGTTCACAGAGATCCACACTGGGAGGGTTATGGGGAAATGATGCAGGAGAGGCTTTCTGCTACATTCCAGCGTTCACTCGTAGAAACCTCTCGGCACGAGCAGTCTCATAGCAACGGAGTCGCCGAGTTAAGTTCACACCATCGCACCAGTGGGTCTAGGATTTCCTCTCTCATCAGAACTTTTAACTCTGACCGACACACAGATGGGGCGGGGCTGGGCGGTAGGTACGAAGAGACTGGTCAGGGCCCGAGCTGGGACAAATCTGCCCTCATGAGTATCCAACGAGAACTCTGTGAATTCACCAATTCACACTCAGGAGACTTTAACGCTGATTATCTTCCGACCACCGGCCAACTCCCATACCGAGACTCCAACTTCTATCCTTCTGAGGTAGCAGCAGTGGCTCACATGAACTCAGGTTTCCACAGCGCTTCCTACAGTAACTACAGCATGTCCTCACAGATCAACGGCAACTCACACGTCTTCATACACAGCGAGTTTAGTCCGTTCAGGGTATGGAGGAATCACAACAGGTTTCCTTTCAAACAAGAACAGGTCTCAGGATTCATGCACACTTCTCACTTTCCCAAATGGTACGAGACACCCATGTACAAGGAGGTTTCGCAGGAGACCTATCCACACAATACTTGCAGGTTTAAAGACAGAGGTATGGGATATCCCACAAATAACATGGTTCCACTTGGTCCTCCCTCTCCTCCACGCTCCACGTCCACATCTACAGTGCTGCAGAAAGCACTGGCCGTGGAAAAACGCTGTGAGTCAGAGCAGATGGGTCATTACACCCACAGGAAGAGAACTCAGAGCCTCGGGACAAACAGGCTACCATCTCAGCGCCCATCGACTGCTTCACCAACGACAGAGATGTCTCGATACGTCGGGGAAACTATTACCTCTGTGAAAAGCCTGCAGCAAAAACTTAAAGTCAGGAGAGAGCAGGAAGTAGAAACAGGAATGGTAGGAAATCAACACGGAGCACTTTGTAGCTCAGACGATTCAATTCCTCCTGGTAATAATACAGTAACGGTGGCACCGAACGTTATCAGAAGTAAAACAGCCCCTCTGAATGCAAAGTATACAACACCACCGGCACAGTATGCCCACCGAGGGGCGGAGGTGTCAGGGCTTGGAGAAGCTTCCACCTCCCCTCAACTCATAGAACATGCCCCTGTGCGAGCTGAAAGCCGGGGTGCTACTCCCGACGTTAGGATGTCCAGTTACAGATCTAGAGCCACGAGCTTTCTCTTCAACCTTAAAGACAACAGGAAAAGAGTAAAAAACACCTACAGCCCCACTCCATTCAAAAACTATGAGGTGCCGGAGAAACCCTGGCCAGTCCAGGAGCCACGTGACACCATCACTGACCTCCCTGATTATACAGGACCAGACTTTCAGTCCACACAAAGAGAAGGCTCCGGCAGGGTACATGCTGTCGCTAACCCATATGTGAACCAGTATCAAAACCCAGATCCATCCATGGCATCACTCAATTCTAATCCCCAAGCAGTTCACATGGCTCAATTTTCCCAATACGCTCCAAGGGACTACCAAAGGCCTCACAGACAGGGCGAGACTCGTTATTCATCTGTGTCTACTGGTCACGTGACTGAAAATTTTACACCCAATCGCCTGACAAATGGACAGTGTCTTCATGACGGCAGGTTATCATTCGCTGAGCGGAGTATGACAGATGATGTAGAGGCTGTGAGAGAAGATGTGCACGGGTTTAAAGCTTCTTACTCAGCTGCAGAAACTACGCAAAACACCTGCGTCGGCGTTGAACCATATTTCAATGAAACAATGGGAAGGAATTTAACAAATGTGATGCGACCTCAGCAGCTCCAGGACACCTGTAATCAAAACTATGGTAGTGTGCTCTCACAGGATAAATGGAGACAGACGAGCAGCCAAGACACAGAAAAGCTCAATGCTCATTGGAAGAAAGAGATCAGTGCTCCATTAGACAAAGAACCTCAGACACAGGATTACCAAAGCGCAGACACCAAAAGGGAAAGTCTTAAATTACCTTTAAACAAATACAAAGAACAAAATCATCCAGTTATTAATAAAGGAATGGATAAAATGGACCTAAGGCAGAGTTCTGGAACTGGAACATCTATTCATAAAAACATCAGTTCAGTACATCCCAACATTTTAAAACAACAACCACAATATGCCGGAGAGGTCAGTAATTATTCTGTTGAAAATGACATGTTTTACAAACAGCAACCAGCAGAAACAACGGACAAAAATGCCCCTAAAAAGTATCTCAAAAACATAAATGGAGACAAATCCAAAGAAGACAGTTTGACTCCACAACAGTTTACTGAGAAAAACCAACATGCTAGCAACAACGAGAGAGATAAAACAAGCAAGAGAAAACCAAATGTTCCACTACCAGATGGATACCAAACACAAAGTCTCCAGCAAGTACAAACAACACCACAGCTCGACGGTAACATGCTGAAGAGTCCATTATCTAATCCTGACCCTGCAGCTGCCCCCACAGCAAAAACACAGGTGAAGCTCAAACAGCCTACTGAGGTCAAGGCTGAACAGGCCACAAGTGAACATATAAAAGCACCACACACCCAGGCGGAGCTGGCAGAAGCTCAACGCCAGGCTCAAGTGGAGCAACCCAAAGCCGATTTGGCCAGGTTAATTTTAGCAGGGCAGACTGTTTCAGAGGAAGTCAGTGCAGAAAAGGCCAGAGCAGAACTGAAGGAGTGTGAGACAGGAAGGACGGTTGAAGCAAAAACGGAGACAAAGGTGGTGGAACAGGCAGAAACGTTTAAAGAAATGGGATCAAAAGATGCCAAAAAGCAACAGCTGGAGACAAAACCGGCACCAGTGCAAAATAAAACAGAGAAGCCAAAGCAAGAGGGAGAAACACGGGTGAAAGAGGAGCAGGGCAAGCAGGTCAAAAGTGATGAAACTGAAGCAGATATACAACAAAAAGGAAACATTCAGACTCCACCAGTGAAGACAGAGCAGGCAAAACCACAGGCTGTACAGGAGGTGAGAGCAGAGGAAGGTAAAGGAAAGGTGAAAGAGCAGACAGAGACGATACAAATCCAAATGGAACAGACTAAAGACAAACAGGCTGAAAGGCAGGAACAGAAGGAAGAACAAACTGAAGGAGAGCAAATAAAACAGCAGAAAGCTGAAGCTGAACAGGAAAAAAATAAGGCAGATGAAGGGGCAAAGGTCAAAGATGATATTAAAGTTGAGGATGTTAGAAAAGAAAAGAAATCCAAAAAATATGTCAATCAAGCAGGTCACATTAATTCAGAACAAAATGCACATCAGGAAGCCAAAGAGGCAGTAGTAAAGAAGAAAGTCAATTTAGAGCTAATGAAAGATGACCCAGCAAAAACAGATCAAGCAGAAACAAGGGTAGCTAAAGTACAGCTAACCAGAGCTGAGTTGGAGAAACCTGAGTTGGAAATAGCCAAAGTTATAAAACCAGATATAGCATTAGCAGACGTGACAAAACCAGAACTAGCTAAATCAGAGACGCTAGCTAAAACAGAGACTGCACAAACTCAGCTCGTGAAACCAGAGGTGACTAAACTGGAGTCAGCGAAATCAGAGTCAACCAAACCAGAGGTAGCAAAGCCAGTATTAACACAACCAGACATGTGCAAGTCAGAGCTAACCAAACCAGTGCAACCAAAAACAGACCCAACTAACATGGAAATGTTAATTAAGACTGGAAAAGAACACTCTGGTCAGCAAAAGGTCAAAGGTGAACCAGACAAGGTCGAGCAGGTAAGAATGGAATTAGCCAAAGCTAAGGCAGAACTGGCCAAGATTAAGGTGAAAATGAGAGGAGAAGTAAAACATCCTCTCAGTACAACGGGAGAATACATGAGCTGGGATTATGTGAACAACAATGAGGAATTGAAAAAACATGATCAGCCGACAGACATTCATCAAAACAGTGACTTCAGCAAAACTGATGGAGATCAAGTTGACAGAGGAGGAAGTGATTATGAAAAAATAGTAGCGAAATATAGTTTTAAGGAAGTATCCCAAAATGAGGGTTCAAATGATGAGAAAACACCAGTTTCACCTCCGGCTGCAGCAGAGAGAGAACACCAGGACAGAACCAAAGACAAACAGAGTCCAAAAAGTGAACTTAGAACAAAAAATGCAGAAAACAAGGAGGAAGTTAACAACTGTAACTGTGTCGATGTGACAGATGGTCACTATGTTTACAGTGAGTCATTAAAAGAATTCACATTATCCACTACTAATCATTCACCCCAAAATGTTGAGAACAAAGACGTTTGTAACGCCGCTGACAAAGAAGACATTATTGGAAACCGGCAAAAATGTGACGCTGTGAAGGAGAAACATATTTCACAGCAAAGAAATTCAGATTTGATTAAACCGCCTTCCATTGACAGAAAGGCAAAAAATACTGAGCACACCACAGTTCAGAGTAAAGATCTTGGCTTCACTCCTCCCAAAGCACTGACCCAGAAAGAGAGAGCACAGACAAAACAAGAGATCCTGACGTCCAAGATAAAAGCTCATGCGGAAAAGGAGATTTCAGCAATTAAAGAAAAAGGTTTAAGAGACGGATTAATGTCGAAAAATTCAACCAAGCAATTAGCAGGCGGTCAGAATATTAATGTACGCCAGAGACCACCGTCACAGGAGGTGCCTAAGAAACATGAAAGCACAGTGTCAGGAAATACCACAACAAAGCCCCTAATGGAGCCTGCAGAAATACAAGGGGGACCAGTGAAGTCCTCAACACCAACCAGCTCCAACAAAATACCAGTGATGTCAACAGCAATCGTTGATCCGTCGGTAGACCATTCACAGAAACAGGCTCACAAAGTAGCAGAGAAAATCAATGACACTCTACCAGAATCACCTGGTACTGCAAAGGAGAAACAGAGCTGTACCAAACAAACAGATGAGGGCCGCAACAAATTAGAGAGGAATCTTTTAGTTACATCACCTCTACAAAATCAAGAACAACCAACCAAGAACAGCAGAGCAAAACAGGAAATAAAAGATAGAACAAAGTCCAAAAAACAGAAAGAGGAACATGAAGACAGTACGCCTACAAACAGTGACACCCTCAGCAAGAAGGATGAAGGTCTGTCACAGGTCAAAGCTGGAAGTGAGAACGCTAGGACTACAGAAGATCCTGAGCATAAACATGAATCTGTTTTCGAGGCCTCAGCACCTTCTGTAAATCTCGTCTTTCAAGATCAGAGCAAGACATCTGTTGTTGATGACAGTTTGCAGATAATGGCCATAATGGTAACTGTGAGAGAAAGGAAACCTTCTGAGAACTACGACGTGGAGGCCAACAGTTCCAAAGAACAAATGAATATAAACAAGATAAAAGACCCCTCAGATCGAGTGAGTAAAGTCAATGAATCATCCAATAAACTCACTGCAGCAGTCTCCAAGCACAGGACTGCAGACGAAAGGTGTGAGAGACAAAAGAAAAACCCAACTGAAATGGTTTTGAATGATTCTCTGGAAAGTGATTTAGAAATTTTGAGCGAAAGAAAGGACAATGCATCAAAGGCTGAGAATATGATTTCTCTAGAAGAAAGTACTGTAAATTCAAGACAGAAAACAGAGACAGAGCGGCAAGAACACGTGGATGAAAAAGCTGCATCTTCAATAATTACTGCACCTGCTAAAAATACAGCGCTGTCTGGAATTCAACCTCGTCCCGATAACAAAGACGTAATGGACGGGGACACAAAAGTTTCCATGAATAAAAAGGCAGAAAACTCAGTCAAGAGTGTAAAGAAAGAAGAGACAAAAACAACAAATACTAAAGAGAGTCTTACAGTCAAAGTTGAAAACACAGGCGCTGATATAAAACAGAACCCCAGCCAATCTGATCTGTTGAAACATGAAAACATGATTATGAACACACGTCCATCCAACAGTGGGAAAGTGGATTCCAGTAATGCACCCCTGCTGGGTGAAAGGAGACAAAACACCCAAGCATTATCACCTCCATGTGTGTCTCCAAAAATACAGCTCAACCAAACACAAAATGAGAAAAATAAGGAAGTGGACGATTTGCACATCGACAGCATTGCTATAAGAGTTGTACCTGCAGCAGCTAAGAGGGACAAAGAAAACATATCAGAAAAACCTTGTGCTGCTGCCGTCCTTTCTGATGTGGCTAAAGCCTCTGAACCTAAAGAAGTTGCTGCACAAAGTGAAAGACAGGTGGAGGTCACCAAAGAAGAAGAGTTAGGAGTACAGGATGTGCTGTTAAGTGTGAAAAAGCTCTCTGCGTCAATGAGAAACAGTAACCAACAAAACAACAGAAACGCCACTGGTGGATTAGTTCAAGCTCAAACCGGAGAGTCCGTAATGGTCGAGGAAACTGAGAAATCTGTAGATAATTCAAAGTCAGAGCCTATGGAGGGAGGGTACTTTCAAGTGCAAGGAGCAGAAGAAACAAGTGATGAACTTCACAAGGGCAAATATGTGGAAGAAACATTAGACAGTGTTTCAAAGGGAGGGGAACTTCCAGGATCAAAACCAAACAAGGCTTCTCCCAGCAGTAAATCGTACAAGGAATTGCACAATGAAGCCTATGTCTTAGATCCCATTTTAAGGAAAACATTGGAATCAAGTGCAACAAAAGTTCAACATGAAACCACAAAGAAGAACGAGTGTGAAACTGAGGGCACGTCGGCTTCCAAACAGTCTGAATCTGTGTCTGAAAAACAGAGTAATCAGAAAAAACTAGAAAATCAAGGACATCAGACGTCTAGCCATTCAAGTTCATCAGCCAGTGAAAAACAGAGTTTGAGTACGACAAATCCAACAAGGGAAAATTCAGTCAGCACAAAATCTGAAGTTAAACCAAAACCAAGAGCATCTACGATACCAGAGATATCGGCTCTAGCTGACTATGCTAGATTAAAAGTTATTGTTTCAGAAGAGCGAGAAAACCCTATCCAGGAACTTCCACGTAACAAAAAGGAAGGATTTTTTCCATTAATACACACAAGACATAGCAGACGTCCAGTGTTTGATACTGAACCAAAAGAAGTCCCTGTAAAGGAGCAGACTTCAATACACAAGGCTGAGGCCAGTGCCAAAGTAAACAAAGAGCCCAAAGCTTTAGTCTTTCCCATCACTGAAAAAGAACATCAAAAAACTGGGATGTTCAAACTGGGGGATAAAGAAAGGCAGGAGAAAATGCTGTCGGACACCCCAGGTGTTTCAGAGCTCGAAGCAAAACATGGACAACGTGTCAAAGACAAAATCAAGTCCCCAACCAGTCTTTTCAAGAACCAGGGCCAAAACGAACAGGTAGCTGCTAATAAAGCTCCAAACCCTGCTTTGAAGACAACACTCACATTGACTGCTGTCAATAAACCAAAAAACACATCAGCATCACAACACCTTGTGTCACCTGTGAGCTTCAATACGCAGGAAAAACATGAGCGTTCCTTAAAAGATGAAAGAATGAACAATCTGGATCAGGACTCCCATCAACAACCTACGTCATTGCAGGAAAACCTTAGAGAAGGCAAGAGAGCATCAAGACAGAACGAGGCATTTGAAAATAAACTAGCTATGTCCAGGGATGAGAGGATAGAAAAGCAGAGAGAAGAAGTGGTCGCACAAGAGAAAGAAGAAACAGCAGTAAAAGAGTCGGAGAAAAATGCAGCATATTATATCGAATATGAAAAACAAGCAGAAGACATAAAGAAACGCATCATTGAGGAAAGTCGAGCTTCTCTTGCCGAAGAAGAAAGAAGAGCTGCTCAAAGGGAAGAGGAGAGAAGAGCGAAAGAGAGGGAAGCCATAGCTCTGAAGATCAAGGAGAGGAGAGAAAAACAAAAAGCAGAAAGAAGAGCAGAAGAAGAAGGAAAAGCCAAGCAGATAAAAGAAAACAAAGCTGCTCCAAGACTGGAAGAGGCGACAGTTAAGCCAAGGCAAGAAGAAGCAAAAGTAAAGGAAATTGATCACATAACAGAAGACAAAAAAACTGCACCTGAGCCACAGCGTAGGACAGCTGCAGATGAGCACAGAATGAGAACAGCACAGGAGGAACAGCCAAGGAAAAAACCACAAGTACAGCAGGAAAGGAGAGTTGCACTTCAGAAAGACAATGTAGCAGCCTTAGAAATGCAACAAAGTGGAACCACGCAGCAGCAAAGAAGAGCTGAGCAAACGGAACAGCAGAGGAGAGTTGAACTTGAAAAAGGAAAGCAGAGGAGAGCAGCTCAAGAGGAGCAGCAGAGGGGAGCAGCAGAGGAACAGCAGAGGAGAATGGCTCAAGAGGAGCAGCAAAAACAAGCTAAAGAAAGAGAGCAGCAGAGGAGAGCAGCAGAGGAACAGCAAAGGAGAATGGCTCAAGAGGAGCAGCAGAGGGGAGCAGCAGAGGAACAGCAGAGGAGAATGGCTCAAGAGGAGCAGCAGAGGAGAACAGCAGAGGAACAGCAAAGGAGAATGGCTCAAGAGGAGCAGCAGAGGAGAGCAGCAGAGGAACAGCAAAGGAGAATGGCTCAAGAGGAGCAGCAGAGGAGAGCAGCAGAGGAGCAGCAAAGGAGAATGGCTCAAGAGGAGCAGCAGAGGAGAGCAGCAGAGGAACAGCAAAGGAGAGCAGCTCAAGAGGAGCAGCACAGGATTTTACAAGAAGTTCAGCAGAGGCGAGCAGCTAAAAAGGAGCAGCACAGTAGTGCTGTACATGAACAGCAGAGGAGAGTGGCAGAGGAGAGAGCTGCAATGGAGCGACAGCAAATTGAAGTTGACGAACAAAAAACGAAAGGTGCACTGGTTGAAGAACAGAAAGTCCTCTCTGACATCAGAGCTCTAGCAAAGGAGCAAACCAGAGAGGACGGAACCATTCAACATGACCCGGTGAGACAGAGATGGACATCTCAAAGAGGGGACGAGCTAAAAGCCAAAACCAGAGACAGTGAAATGTTTCCTGCTCAGAGAGAAAAGGAGCAGAAGATGGAGGAGCAGAGGAAGGCAGCACAGATGAGAGATGCTCTACAATATTATGCCATCAATTCAACTGCATCTGAGAGAAAAGTCAAAGAAAGACACCTGTTTTCCCCTTTGCCTTCCCAACCAAAAACCAACCCATCGGTGCAAGAACCAGATGAGGACTCAGGAGCCAACACCAGGACCTACAGGCCACATGGCTCTACATCTCCAGCTCCACCTCGATCCAGCACCTCCTCTCCTGCTCTGGCAGTCAAACCATCGATGTTTAGAGTGAAGGATAACACCAGCAGAGGTTCCTCTTTCACCAAGCCTGTCAAACCACGCTTCCATAAGAACCTCGGGGAGGAATTCCAAGTAGGTTCACCGGTCGAGAAGGCGTCAGAGAGAATAGAAGAGGAGCAGGAGACACTGAGACAGGGGGCAGGAACTCCTGCCAATTCTGAAACAAGGTTTAACAAACTTGCTGCTATCAAAGAACTCTCTTCGTCTCGACCTACGTCCACATCTCAGGAATTGTCTGGTTATCAACCACAGCACAGGCCTTTCTCCAGGAGGAGTATGGCCATGGATGAGGACGATTCACGATCTGTCATTAGCAACATGTCTGAGGGTGTGGAGAGCTTCGCCACTAGTGCTGCAGACCTGGCTGACATAAGGGGACTATATGATTATGAGAGACCAGAATCAGCCTGTAGCTACAGCAGTGATATGTCCCGCTCGATGGGAAAGCCTCCAACTGTTCCTCCAAAGAGCGAGAAAGCGCTAGAAAGGGCCAAAAGGTTGACGTCAAGAAGGATAAAGAAGGAATTGTCTAAAGCACCAGATAATAGCCATGCTGGAGGTGGGACACCGCTGCAGGAGGTCTTGAACTCTCCTCCTTCAGCCTCAAATGAGGTAGACTCCTCCAAACAGCATGCTGTTGCTTACCCTCATTTCTCCTCACCTATCTCCCTTGCCAAAGCCCCACACAGCTCATCTTCATCATTTGTAGATCAACCATCATCTCGCCGCTCTGTCCAAGCTTCCCCACATGCAACTGGTCCCATTTCCATTGCCTTACCCCATGTGACTGCTGCTGGTACTGTACCTGTTGCCACAACCACTACTGTTGGTTCTGTCCCCAACAGTACTGTTCTTAAAACGGTACCACGTGTTTCCTCTTCTCCAACTGTGTATCACACCAATCATCCAGGTCCAGTGACACAGTACCGCATAGAGACAGGTTATCCCCAGTCCTACCCACTGACCCAGCGCAAAGTACTGCAAGACCTTGGCTCTGGTCAGTACTATGTAGTGGATGTACCCATTCAAGTAAAAACAAAGACTTTCTTTGATCCAGAGACCGGAAAGTACGTTCAACTCAACGTGCGCGAGTCTGGACAGAGCACCACTCGAACCCAGCCACAGCAAACTTTCCCACAACCTCACCTTCAAACCCCGATGCAAGTCAAGCCACAGCAAAACCAACCCCAGGCCACTACTACTGCCAAACCGTCCATGCTTTACCACGGCTACCATGGCTATTCTCAAAGCTACCAACCAGCACTTAACTCTTTGTCCCCCTACAGGTCATTGGGTTCTGGGGTTCCCCTCCAGAACCAACAGTCCATAGGGGGGAACCACAGCTATGGGTACCAAACCCATGAAATGAGAGGGAACTCTGAGGGGCATCACCACAGCCCCGAGAAGACCCCATACATGGACACTGTTAATGACAGCGAGAAGACGTATAACAGGGTTTACAGCACACACGGCTCATATGAGGCGTTCCCAGAGTGTGACACAAACCGCCAGCTTGCAGGAAGCTCAGTGTGTGAAAATGAAAACTCAGCCCACACACAATATCAGCCGCGTGATATAATAACTATGGGTGAACTGGAAGATTTTATGGAGGTGTCCGACTGGTGAGAACACAAACCAAAAGCTATAACATAAAAAAAAGACGTGTAAATACTGTAAAGACAGCAGGAAATGAAACACCATTAAAGTAATTAAGCTTCTGAGTGAATGTTTTCAGCCCGTAGTTTTACACAGAGGGTTTTTGACATGCTGTTAATTTGCTGCTAACGTGTACGATTTTTGTTGAGCTATTTATTATGTTCACCATTCCATTTCATGTTGAATGTAAGAAGGTGTGATATGTTTCTTTGTGAGATGGGTGTGATCATTAGCCCGGGAGAACGACAGCTGGAGAATGTTTGTTTAAGACAAAAAAAAAAAAATCATGTTTTCTTGTCTTGTACACCGTCAGACGAAGTCAACATAGTGTTGTTCTGTTATTTGCTTTCAAAGAAATCAAACATTTAGTTGAGTTTTTGATGCATGAAGCATTGTTAAACCGCAACGTATATCACAGAGCTGCAGCTTTTGTGTAGTGTAGTTTCTGTACTGAACCATGTTAAAGCACACTGACATGACTGTTCCTGTTTGTAAGGTTTAATTTCATGCTGTGGTCCATTTGTAAAGTTGTCTCTGTGGTGCCGTGAAGTAAATAGTGTTACATGGACTTCAACCAATAAAAAAAAGCACACCTTATTCTGTTAAGTAATTTGTTATCATTATTTTTTTTCAATTAACATGTATGCTATAAAAAATGCATTAATTAACATGCATGTTAAGTAAAAAAAACAACAAAAAAAAACCTTTTCAGCAGATTAAATTTATTTTGGCATTCACCAGCCAAAATGAAAAAAAAAAAACAAATACTGCAGCTGGCATTCTGCTATTGCTAACTGTGAATGACTCAGAGTGAAGTCTTTTCACTGACTGGATAACATAATTACAAAGTGTTGTTCAGGGAGCACTACCGTACGTCCTGAGAGAGTTCAGAAACACAAAAAGAGAGAACATTTGTCTGACTATGAAGCAGCGATTGGAATAACACGATGTGAAAATATCTCGTCTTTGATTTCCCTTGATCCACAAACTAAGATTAAATGTGTGATGAAATCACCTGCTGATACTCCTCTGTTTAAAAGTAACCCACAGAATTATTGTCCCCCTGAGAAGCAGTAACTTGCTTCCACCACTACAGGGCAGAGGAGAGTAATATCTTCTCTGAAGCTATAAGACTTGAACTTCAGACTGTGTAAAGAGGAAACTTGAGGGAAACCCCAAGTAGAGGACATAATCAAGAAGACACACAGTTGTTCTGAGAGAATCATCATTGTGGAACGTTTCCTCTTCTTGATATCACCTCATGTTTAATACACAAACACAGATCACGACTGGAGAGGACTGAGCCACTTCATCAACCCAGAAAATGCATTTTCCACTGGATCCATCCATCACAACGATCCATCAAAGGTCATATGTATCAAGGGTTAAATCTGTTGTGTAATTCCATTTGGCTTTGGCAGCGCTCGCAGCCTCGGCAGAAGGCCTGCCTCAGCAGTTTGAGATGCCCAATAAAGCAGCAGGCTTCATACCGCTGGGACAGTCTGACAACCACAGCCAGAGACAAACCCATGGCACTGTGTCCAGCAGCCAGACAGGGAGAGGTCCCAGCAGTCACACACACACACACACACACACAGAGAGAGAGAGAGAGAGAGAGACAACATAAAGCAGCAGCTGAATAAAGTACTCTATGTTGACCCTTCTTCAGGAGTGGGGGGTGGGTGAGGTGGGTGTGGGTGAGGTGGACCACCCCCCTTTAACTTCAAGGATAACGGGACTGACATGTGGAGCGAATGCATTTTCAGCACTTTCTTGCGACACACACAGAAACACACTCTACAACCACGAGACCTGACCACTGCTTTAAAGTTCTGGGGGTTTGGGACACGGTCCAAGAGTCCTCTCCGAAACACAGGAAATGACATTTCCTACATTTGCAGGACACACAGAAGAGAGAGAGAGAGAGAGATAAAGAGAGAGAGAGAGAAAAACACAGAGAGAGAGAGGGGGAGAGAGAGAGTGTGCACTGGGAGAGTGAGTGGGAGTTTCTAGTGGGAACAGAACATTTACTGTTTCATATTACACAAAAGTGGAGAAAGAGGAGAGGAGTTAATGGTGGCTGAGGGTTCTGGTGGGTCGTGCAGTCAGAATGTAGCTCAATGGTTAAGTGCTCTGCTCTTGTCTGGGTTTATGGATCCGCTGACTGTGGAAAATGCACCTCTCTGTAGTGGTCCTCGTCCTGACTGAGGCTCTGGTTCTGGTCACAGGTACGTTTTTTTGCCTTGTTAACAACCATGTGCAGCAGTGGAGTGTGGGTCAGAGCAGTCGAGTAGTGAAGTAAGTTTGATGTTCTAACCTGTTGACCTGACTCGCAACTTTGTCAACTTTGTCAACTCTGATGGAAGGAGCAACAGTGGAAAAACAACCTAAAGTTGGTGAAGTCGTTACATCAAAGTGCAGCTGCATGTCACTGTTGGGGAATAATAATGCAGAGAATTAGGCTGTGATTAAAACAATAACTCAGAAATATAGTAAGTCGGAGTGAAAAAACTTAATTTCCTTGGTGTTACATTAGTTTGACTCCCTAACTTTTGACACATTAAAGAGTGTGTGACTCCAGGAATCCCACTGTCACAGTTAAAAAACAGGAAATAATCAGACAAATCCGGTCCCACATGGTGCCTGTTATCTTGTCATCATGTTTGTCTCCAGATGGAAATGTTCCACAGACCAATGTTTACCACCTGCGGCTCTCTGTGCCCATCTCAGCACACATACTGTGTCCAGACCCTGGTCCAGACCCTGGTCCAGACCCTGGTCCAGACCCTGGCTCTGACTGAGCTGGCAGCAGAGGGAAACATACGTAGCTCCGGGATATTTTTTTTAGGAGGGGATTTTTCTCATCCAATTCCTCATAAGGGAGTTTTAAAGAATTATTAACAAAATTCCCACCCAGTCACTGGATGACATAAGCTGTGAAAGTAGAACCGTAGAAATTTATTTTGTCTAAATGCCACAATTATGTGTAATCAGGAGGAAATTAAACATCTCACAAAAATTAAGTCAGTCTTTTTCCATGTGTGGCTCATGACCAAGTGATTTAAAGGGCAGGGAGGAGTCACCGGCCCTGATCACTGCACTGCTGCGGGGCTCAGTTTAATGGTTGTTTGATACTGATGCTGCGTATTTATGGCAGTACATAAAAATACACAGACACACTTACAGATATCATGGAACTATTGTCCTGAATTATGGGCTGCAAAAAAGGGGTAAGAGATGGACTTCATTTATAACAGCCCTCTGCCTCACTCCTCCTTCAGAATGATCACTTTATCTGCTCTCACCAAATATGTAATTTTCCTAGTAGAATATGCTGAAAGTACCACTTTATTGTAAAGTATTAGTTGTAAGGTGCCAGAAAACAGTTTTATTTGGATTTTGGATTTGATAAGCACTTTTTTCAGTCTAACAAAGACGATCAAAATCATTTTTAAAATTCAGTTAACTTTCATTAGTGTTTGCAGACATTGACTTATAGGTTCCTTTTATTAACTGTATTATTCTATCCATCATTTTGCTATTTTTATCTTCTATTTGCCAAACTTTACAGCCAATGTTTAAGTTCTCTGACCAAAAGTAGAAATTTCCTTTTTTTTTCTTTGCATTTAGTGAAATTTAGTAAATGTTTTTTTGTTTGTTTTTTGTCTTAAATCAGAGGTCAGTCATGCTCTGAATGTGACAGTGACCCCTGGTCCTGTAGTGATGGTCACGGAGAAAGACAATGTGACACTGTCCTGCCTGGTGTCTCAGAGGAAGTGGAGCAACAGTGTCCTCATCCTGCGCTGGTTCTTCACTCCCCCTGCTGATCCCACCCCTTTGCCTCCACCCTCTCTTCCATCTCCTCCACCTTCAGCTGAGCCTACTCAGTTTCTCATCGTGAAGATGGGCATCAAGAAAATGAAGCTGTATGGCAACTACACCCGCGGCTTCCCGTCGCCAAAGTTTCGTTTGTATGAGGAAACAGAGGGGGAGTCGTACCGACTGTGTATTTTCAGCGTGACCAGGTTGGACCAGGGGTTCTACACCTGCAAGGTGCAGGAGATCCGCAAGCTCAGGAACACGTGGAGGGCATCGTCCAATGGTACCAGCACCACCCACCTGACAGGTGACCAGAGCGATGATAACGGGCTACTGATGTTTATGTGTAAGAAAGAAAGAAAGAAAGAAAGAAAGAAAGGATGATAGAATGAAAGGAAAGGGAAGGATAATTGGTAACAATAAGAGATGGGAGTGAAATGAGACGCAGAGTTGTCTCATTATTTGGCAACCGGTCAACTGACGCTTCACTGTTGTAAGTGTGGGAAAAAAAACAGCTGGAAGGTTGCCTTATAAAGAAAGGCTGTTTGTTGCACTTGGCCCATGTAGTACACAGACAGAAGTATTGGTAATGGAAACACAGGACGAAACTCAGCTTTAACTGACAGTCAATACAACAAGATCGTTTTTCTTTCTCTCTAAAAAAGAAACTCTTTTGAGTCTGGTGAATTCCCACAAGCCATGACAGAGGGTCACCACCTTAGTTAAGGTTTTAGTTTAGGTCAAACTAACAAAAGCAATGGCCAATAGACGTTAAGGTTTTAGTTTAGGTAAAACTAACAAAAGCAATGGCCAATAGACTAACTTTTTTTATTATTATTATTTACGCAGCCAACTGCTTGATGATGCTTTGAATGTTGTATAGTTCAGATATGTCTTAACATTTTCCAAAGTCCTAAGGATCCATCCGCCTAATCAACTAATCAACTAATTCATATTGAGTAAACAGAATGTTGTTGTAGAAGAAGAAGGAAAATTGAGACTTTAGAATGTAGGATAAATGTTTTTGACCTATTTTGGTACCCAGGGTTTTCAATATGTCTAACTAAACCAGATTTTTTTTTTATACTCCTAAACAGACATGTTAGCATTTCTGAGTGACACTATAATAAGATGGGCCGCAGTGTAAAGCTGTGCTGGTTCAGATAGGTGTCACAAATGAATTTTCCGGAGTTTAAAATTTTAAATCAAGGGGGATTTATTGTTCTCAATGGAATTCTTACTTCCCAAGGATTTCCCCTCAGAGCCTCATGTATTGAATGGAATCATGCCGTCCCCATTATCTGCCAAAAGAAAAGAGTGACTAAAGGAAGAGCAACAGTTTTCACTGAAGGATAAAGGGCCAACACAAGTGTGCAGCACTTATTCTTCCACTCTGTAATAGAGCCTGTGTTTCAAAGAGACTCCAATCCTCTGGCATTTCCATCTCAAAACAATGAGCTCACACAGCCAAACCACACTCAACAATATTACTCTGTGTGTAGCAGCATGTGAAGTCAAAAGGTACAGAGTTGCTGAGCTGGCCTAAAAACTCATGGAAGTTTTTTTTTTTCTGTGAGAACTGTGAAATACATGACGTTAGCGTTCACTTTTGTGCTAGCCTCAGGGGAAAAATTGACTTCCAAATCCAATTGCAGTAAAACGTATACGGTCTTTGCCAAACGTCCTGCAGATACCGACAATAAACAAGCCCAGGACCCAAGGAGTGAGTGTGGTAACTGCTGGACGTGGTTTTGATGACCATGATATGTGATATAGGTGGGGGCTTCACACCTGAACTATTTCCACAGTCTGACCAGCAGTAAAAGTTCTACGCACAGTTATCTTCCAACGCCCTGCCCTACTTTCAGGGCAATGCCCGACTAAGGAAGCCACACGACCTCAGGCATCTCTGACTCGCACTGACCACAGGAGGAGCAGAAAATTCAAAAGCTGACATTTAGAGGGTAAACAAAAAAAAAAGTCAGTTGAACCGTAGCTGTAGTCCAGGGAAGCCCTCCGTCTGCAGCTCTGAGAGCAGAGACTTGACTCCTCTGAGATCATTGGACGGCTCCTGAAAGATTTTCCACCGAGGGGAGATGATTTGTCCTCACCCCACGTCTCTAAATCCCAAATCCAGACACTTTCCGTGTTCCCTCTGCTCGGTGCACTGCGGGTCACCGTTGCCTCTCTCTGGCTTCATGTTTCTCAAACCTAACTCTCAGCTGAAAGTTCACTTTTTTGCATTCCATCGCACAGCCAAACAGGCAGAAGCAGCCGAGCGTAAATCTGTACCTTTGGGAAGAAGCAGCCGAGCGTAAATCTGTACCTGATGGTCTTTTACGAGAGCCCATACTTTCACATGAACTCCTTTGAAACTTAAACAACTGCTGCAGACACATGTTTGCAACGTGTGCTGTGATATCTCCCCAGCAGTGAACCATCGGACCTCCAGCTCCGGGTGTGGTTACCCACACTGGGAAAGTTACACATGTGGTTCACTAGGGATTAACAGTGTTACAGCTCGTAATGCTGCAGTAACTTGTACCCATTATCTACGT